GGAGGGAGGGAGAGAGAGAGATGACGAGAGAGAGAGAGAGAGAGAGAGAGAGAGAGAGAGAGAGAGGAGAGAGAGAGAGAGAGAGAGGAGAGAGAGAGAGAGAGAGAGAGAGAGAGAGAGAGAGAGAGAGAGAGAGAAGAGAGAGAGAGAGAGAGAGAGAGAGAGAGAGAGAGAGAGAGAGAAAGACAGACAGACAGACAGACAGAATGATAGACAGATCGACAGACAGACAGTCAGACAGAAAGAAAGACAGACAGAGAAGTCGGGAACATGAGAATGGGTTGGACAATAAGAACCTTCCCAGCACTAGACTACTGCAGGTCAGGACTACACTACAGCTCCGGAATTTGGAAACCGAAATTTTTCTATTCATACATCTGCTGTATGATGTTGTATGTATCAAAGTCTTTATTACTGTCATTCATATCTCTTCTACATTTATTGTAATGAATACTGATAATACTGTTATTATCAGCATCATCAGTCACATCGTTATCATCATTATTACCTTTGATTATCATTAATGTTCTCCTTTGAGTTTTAATGAACTTGTAATAATCTTAATTGGCAATGAAAATATAAATCAGATATCAGAACCAGTTGCCTTGAACACAAAATAGCCTTGCGGATATCAAGGCATCCTCATAGTCATGTGACGTTCACAATGCGGATATCAATGAGCCTTTATTCCTCATAGTCATTATCATCATCTCATGTGCCGTTCACAATGCGGATATCAAGGCATCCTCACAGCATGTGCCGTTCAATGCGGATATCAAGCGTCCTCATCCATGTGCCGTTCACAATGCGGATATCAAGGCGTCCTCACAGCCAGGTAATCACAATGCGGATATCAAGGCATCCTCACAGCCATGTGCCGTTCACAATGCGGATATCAAGGCATCCTCATACACGATGAACTTGTACCCTAAGGAAGTAAAACCCACATCCCTTATCTTTGGAAACTTATCCCTTCGCTTTGTTTATGTCTCTTTCACTTTTATGTCCGTACAGTCATTATGCAAAACTCGGTAATTATCTCATGAACTGAAATCAGAAAATCTTAGAAGTCATCTTTAATAACTTCTAATATCTTTAATAACTAACAATTTGATAGATTACAATGAGGAAAATTTCGGGAAGTGCAAAGTCTGTAGTGGTTTTGGATTTCATGTTGTTCTTATAGTTGTGAAATCTGTTTAAGTGTTTTTGTTCATTTACATGTTTAATAGGCTCTAGTAATAGTTGTGGTTATAGTATAATTAATGACAGTTGTAGGACTTAAGTGCTCGCGGGTTTAGTAGGCCTAGTTGTAATAACCGTCGTGGATGTATCGGCGTAAACGAGAATGACATGGGTGACTTTTAGCTATTCATATATATATATATATATATATATATATATATATATATATATATATATATATATATATATATATATATATATATATGTATATATGTATTCTCTCTCTCTCTCTCTCTCTCTCTCTCTCTCTCTCTCTCTCTCTCTCTCTCTCTCTCTCTCTCTCTCTCTCTCTCTCTCTCTCTCTCTCTCTCTCTCTCTCTCTCTCTCTTTCTCTCTCTCTCTCTATTTCTTTATTTTATTTTATTTTTTTATTTTTTATTATTATTATTTTTTGTGTGTATGGCAACATATTAGTAACAGAGGTGTAATGGCGGAAGTGATGGTAATAATGATAGATTTTTTTTACTTGAATCACTTGAATCAATTGAATGTGATTAAGTAGCCGGAACAAGCAGAAAGAAACTCAAGCAACGGACATGAGAGGCAGAGCAAAGAATGCGGTTCGTTTCCTGTGTCAAAAAGTCGCCGCGGTTTACGTTCGGCGTGACCAGGGAGGCCTAATGCCCTGCAGGCCTACGCTAGGCTATGTAGGTCAGTAGGCAGCGTGAGTATAAGGGTATCCTTATTAGCCGCGAGATTGGTATCTGTAGGAATTCCTTATATGTCGAACTATGCTGCGTTTCATCAGATAAGCGCTGCTGTAGTTTTGTTTTCTTAAAGGTTTTATCTTCACGGCGACACGCGGGGTGGGTAAATATTTGTAAACATTTATACGCAGGGTCCCTTGATTCGCGGAGCTTGCTGAAAGGAATATATCTAGGGGCAGTTCCGGAAATCTTATCTTCAGGTGAAAGTTGAAACACCATATTCGGTTTGTAATTACTGTTTTTACGCTGGCATTCCTTTTTATTTGTTTGTCTATCTGCATGACTGTATACCTTTTTTGCCGTTGCACTCATTCTTTGCACGTCTGTCTGTCAGCATCTCTCTCTCTCTCTCTCTCTTTTATCTCTCTCCCTCTTTCTCCATACAATCCTCTTTCTCTCCATCTCTCTCTCTCTCTCTCTCTTTCTTTCTTTTTCTCCCTCCCTCCCTCCCTCCCCCCCCCCCTCTCTCTCTCTCTCTCTCTGCTGTTCATATCAGGTTCTCTTCACCTCCTTGAACTCCTAAGGCCAGTACAAGTCGACCTGCACACCACCTCGACCCCCCCCCCCCCCTAGACTGTACTTGTGGATTACCCTCCCCCGCTAAACCCATGACCGACCCCTCTCCCTGCCCTCCCACCCACCCTCCCCACCCCCCAGCACCGCCAATTCCCTCCGACCCAAATGCCTGACACCCCAAAATTAATCAGGTACCCTTTGCCCCTTCCCTCCCCCTACCCCGTCTTCCCTTCCTCCCTCCTTCGTTTCTTCCCTCCCCCCTCCCCTACCTAATCCCCCTACCACCCCACTTCATCCCCGCCTTCCACTTTACCTTTATATCCATCCCCACCTCCCTCCCCCCTACCCTCCACCCCGCAAACCTCAAGCCAATCCCTGCCCCCCCCCTCCCTTCCTTCACTCTCCCTCCTTCCCCCCATTAACCCCCCCCTTCCCCATTGTGTGAGTATAGAGGTCAAACCGCCCTCGATATGTAGGTCAGGCGGTGTCCTTGTGTGTCCTAGCGCGGCCTTCCCCGACGCCTTGTAAAACTGCAGGTGGGAGGGAGGGACGGGAAGGAAGGGGGAGAGGGGGGGTAGGAAAAAGGGAGGGTAGGTGGGAAGAAGGAGGGAAGGGGGTGGAGAAAGAGGGGTTGGAAAGGAGTAGAGAGGGAGTAGAGAGGAGGGTAGAGGAAGAGGAGAGGAGGGAGAAATGTAGATGGAAAGAGAAGGGGAGGGGGGTCTGGGAAGAAAGGAGGGAAAGAAGAAAGATGGGAGTGGAGGAGGTAGAGAAGGAGTAGAGAGGAGGATGGAGGAACAGAGAGAGGAGAAATGTAGATGAAATAGAAGGGAGAGAGGGCTGGGAAGTAAGAAAAAAAAGATAGAAGGAGAAAAGAGAGGTGGGGAGGAGGTAGAGAAGGAGTAGAGAGTAGCGTGGAGGAAGAGGAAAAAGGGGAGAGAGGAGGGAGGGGGAGGTGCTGGGAAGAAAAGAGGAGAAAATAGGAGAAGAGGGGAGGAGGAGAGGAGGAGAGAGAGAGGGTGTAGAGAGGAGAGGAGAGAGAGGAGAGGAGGAGAGGAGAGGAGAGAGAGAAGCAGAGGAATAGAGGGAGGGGGGGGGGGTGGGTAGAAAAGCTGGAACTCTGCGTGTAAACGACTGAACGAGAAATATGGCTTGTAAGTTAACGGTCTCGGAGACGAATGCATGGGATATCTTTTTATCTTTTTATATCCCAGTGTTATATCCTTCGTTGTCATTTTTCTTTCTTCATTCTTCTATTACTACTTTTCTTGTTCTATCGCTTCATTTTGTTCTTCCTTATTGGGTTTAATGTTTTGTTGTTGTTGTTGTTTTATACCATTTGTGTTTTTTTCTTTCTTTTTTATATAATTTGTGAGAATGGATTGTGCGCTGCTTAGGCGGTCCAAGTCATACTTTAACTTATTGTTTTATCTAATGTCGTAATGATAAAGATATTATATGCTTCTACACGAAACTGAATTACCTTTATTATTACAAATGTCAAGAAAAACATTAGAAGCTTCCAAGATTTCACATACAAAAAAGAAAAAGAAAAAAATTATATTTTGCATACTTTTTTTTTTTTTTTTTTTTTTTTTTTTTTTTTTTTAGACAATGTGTAGTATAGAACAGATTTTATTTTGCACTTATCAAGATTCTCCGTATCACACGGAATTGGAAACAATTTGATAATTACAATTAAAGAGAAATTAAGATTCCATCAATTAATTAACTCTTTCTCGGTCAGCATATCGAAGAAATTCCTCTCGGGAGAGTAGTGGAATTTAATTATAGTGGTTATAATTAGAGACTAATGACGAAGATGGTGATATTGATGATTATTTTAATGGTAATTATGATGATGATAATGATATGGATATTATGATAGTAATATCGATTATAACATGGCCAATCATGGGAGTGAGGATTAATAAGAAATAGCAATAATGATATTGATGGCAACAACAACAACCATAAGAAATAGCAGTAATGATAGTGATAAAAAAAAACACTTTCATTGATAATGCCAACAGAAACGACAATATTGATAACGACGAAACAATAACAATCAAAACAAATACAATAAAAACAAATAAAAAAAAACTTGCATTCCGCAGCCGCCCAGCCCGAAAGCCGGAACCGGAAAGTCGACGAAGAAAGTTCTCGAAGCATGACATACTCTTGACGGATCCGGCGGCCGTTGCGTCATCCGTCTTGCTCGGCGCCGGAGATTCGCCTGTCCTTGTTGGCGTCGGATTGGCTTTCTTTATCTTGTTTTGTGGATCTTTGTTTCTCTTTGTCTTATTTTTTTAATCTTTATTTTTGGATCTTTATTTCTCTTTATCTTATTTTTTTATCTTTATTTCTCTTTCTTATTTTTTGGATCTTTATTTCTCTTTATCTTTTTTTTAATCTTTATTTCGCTGTATCTTATTTTTTTTATCTTTATTTCTTTCTTATTTTTTTATCTTTATTTCTCTTTCTTATTTTTTGGATCTTCTCTTTCGGATCTTTATTTTTTTTTAATCCTTATTTCTCTTTATCTTATTTTTTGGATCTTTATTTCTATTTGGGTCTTGGTTTTCTTGAGTTTTCTTGCGAGAGAGAGTGTATATATATATATATATATATATATATATATATATATATATATATATATATATATATAATATATAATATATATATATATATATATTCCTTTTTACGTTTACTTGCTTTTCGTATTTTCAGATCTGTAGTTCTGCCTGATTTTGATATTATCTTGATTTTATTTATTTATTCATTTATTTATTTTTCTTGCTATGTGAGGGATATTTTTGTGTCTTTTCTGCCCTTAGTTACGTCTATACTTGTTTTTCTTTTTCTTACCTTTAAATCTGCTGTTCTGTCTTATTCTTGCATTTTCTTGAATTTTCTTGCGAGGTGCGTGATATAATTGGTCTTGGCCTACTCTTTCTTTGGTTATTAATCTATTGCGGTATTTTGGCCTATATGAACCTAGAATTGATAATGGCAATGATAAATCCATAATGATGTTAATTAAGAAATGAATACATAACTGAAAACCCAATTAACATAAACTACTAATATTTTTGTGTGTAAAATTACCTACATGTAAACCGCAATCATTATAATAATTATGCACAAAAAATGTAAGTCGTTTTTGCACAAGTATTCATTTTGATCAATTAACTAAAAATCACGTGGTTAGCAAAGAAACTACTTGTTGCTAAATGTCAACAAGTTTCTGTTTCCATTTCTAAAAGCTTTCTCTTCTTTACGTTTATTATCATGTCCTGCTTACGATGTGAAAATATTAAAGTTCATTGTTTCAAATTAAAAAAAAGAAAGAAAAAAAAGTGTATACCCCTCCCCCCCCCCAAAAAAAAAAAGAAGAAAAGATACATTTACAACGCAAGAAGTATAATTATTGCTTTTTGATTAGATTTCAATCAAAATAATTGATTTTCATGAAGATTTAATCGAAACGCATCAATCAACATACCTAATGTTGTCAAGGTTTTGATTCTCATCCATAACTTTTTCAACAGAAGTGAAACTATTAATACCTTAATATTCAATACTTTTTTGCGTATTTAGTTTAATTATATTTGTCTCAACGGATATTCTAGTCTGTTTATTTGCTTCTCAATTACCTTTCACCGGTAATGGCTCGGCGTGGGAAGTGGATATTAGATTAATTTTCCAAGAGATCTCCGCCCACAGAAAAATTTACGAAGATGGCGAAGAAGAAAAAGAAAAGATGGCAAAGATAAATGACAATTCTTCATCATTCCTCTGTCTACTGTTGAGATCCCTATCATCTGCGCGACAGGTTGTTAGAAAGTCTTATTTGCATATATTTGCATAAATGTACTGTTAGGTAATAGTGTTGGGATATATATAATGCGTCATTTTTTTCTCAACTCAAGTCTCTTCTTTTTCTTCTTTTTCTTTTCTCTCTCTCTCCTTCTTTCTCTGTCTGTCTACCTGTCTATCTCGCTCTCTCTCTCTCTCTTTCTCTGTCTGTCTGTCTGTCTATCTGTCTGTCTACCTGTCTATCTCTCTCTCTCTCTCTCTCTCTCTCTCTCTCTGTCTGTCTGTCTGTCTGTCTGTCTGTCTGTCTGTCTGTCTGTCTCTCTCTCTCTCTCTCTCTCTCTCTCTCTTCTCACTCTCACTCACTCACTCACTCACTCACACACACACACACACACACCACACATACACACACACACACACACACACACACACACGCACAAGGACGATTGCATCCAAGAAGCGCTTTACCCTAAGAAACCACAAAAGCGAAATAACTCCCGAGGAAACGTCTGTTCCACGAAGAAAAATGAGCTGGTACAGGAAAAAAAAAATCCCCCTCCCCCCCTCCCCCCAAAAAAGAAGGATGGCAGGCAAATGCGTAAAGGAAGAGAGGAAGAATGGGCAAGAGTGAGGCAAGGGGTAGGGGGTAGGGGAAGGGGGAGAAAGGGAAGGGAGGGGCACACATGACGAGGGTAGAGGGAGGGGCCCCATGTACCGTTATAGCCCGAGGCGGTGTCCTGGTTATGCCTCATCCCCCCCCCCCCCTCATCCCACAGGGTGTTCTGCGGGGGATGTCTTGAAGCTGGACTTTCTTTTCTTTGCCTTATTTGGCTGCGCTTTTGGGTTCAGCTGTATGTTTGGCTGGATTGTTATGTTTGTTATTATATTGTTATTATGTTATTATCATTATCCTCTTCATTATTAGCATTATCGTCATCATCCTCATGACCATCACTTTAAGAGCAACAGCATGTACATTTTGACTTTTTAAAAATAAACACAAAAATGAGAAAATAATTCAGTCCAGCGGTCAGTCACATATATAACAAATACTAAAACACTACCACATAAATAAAGACAAAGAAATAAGAAAACGGACAAAATAAACCGAAAGAAGTGAAATAGATTAATGCAATTATGTTTCTCATTACACTCTAGGCTCTGACGTCATAGCTGCTTCCATGGTATATGCTGTAATATCTCAAATGGAATTTTTCTACGGCATGTGAAACTTTCTCTGTTCCTATTGCTATTACGCAAAGTTGAGTACAAGCATAGTTTATTCTTAGCAATTGAGTAAGATTTAATATATAGATTGGAGGAATGCTGAAATACTCTCCATGTTTATGAGTCAGCCTGTATATCAGTACATGTGGATTTCATGTTTGAGATTCCATGTACTCTCCATGCTGACGTGGGAGTTTGATGTCTAAGATTCCATATATGTGTATGTTTATGAGTCAGCCTGTATATCAGTACATGTGGATTTCATGTTTGAGATTCCATTTATGTGTATGTTTATGAGTCAGCCTGTATAGCAATACATGTGGATTTCATGTTTAAGAATCTATTTATAGGAATTCGAGTGTCTACGTATGTGTATGTAAGTCAGTCTGTATATCATCACATGTGGATTATTTCATGTTTTTTTTTTTACATAGTAGATGCATTACATAAACATTGTAAAAAGAACAGTCACTTAGAACTAATTAATAAAAACAGTTACATAGTTTCAGTTTAAGTTTCTGAAAATCTTCAGCCTTCACTGGCTTGGAGTCATACCACAAAACAAAGGGAGTTTTAACGCGTTTTGTGCTAGTTCAGAGCAAGAGAAAAAATCTGAAACAGTATATATGATTTTTGACATTACCAACGCCCGTCGTGTTTTACATCTATCCGCTTAATCTTATTTTTTTCTTGGCTAATCACGATTTATAAAAAAGGAATATTTGAACAGATGAATCCAATTCAAAATCGTGGCTGCCTACTTCCATTGTATCACCTTCCAAAGAAAATTTCATAAATGCTTAAAAAAAAGTCATGAATGAGATTGAATACTATCACAAAGACAATTCGATTGAGGACAGAAAGGGATCGAATCTTAAATCCCTCACCTCGCCTTATGATTCCCTATCATTCATAACTTTTTCTCAACATCTATTACAATGAACTCAATGAGCCAAGTGTTGCAAGAAATTCACCGAAATATTTTGAAATAAACTCAATGAACTCGATGCCACAATAACCTCCAAGAACGAGTTCAGTCTTGCCGTGAACTCCACGAAATCAATATCACAATCACTCAGTGTTCATCCCCACCAACGAGTCCCCTCTATAACACCGTCTACAGCTCGTTCTTCACGTTCTTGTTCTTGAGGAAAGGCACGAACGACGCCATCTGTATCACGTTATAAGGACAGTCAGGGAACGCCCGCTGGCAGTCACCTCCTGACAAGCCCGTGAGGATGGCGCTGGAATACCGCTGCTGGTGCTGCATGTGTGGCCTGAGGGAAGGGAGGGAAAAAGGGGGATTAGAAGGTATATTGCGTGACAGCTGTTATGAGTGATGACTGGTAAGGTGAGAACATGACGGCGAAAGTGGTGAGAGTGAGAGCCAGGCGGTGGGCGGATTAAAGTTATATCAAACTCGGGTTAGGTCTCAACGTCATTTAGATAATCAATACGAGAAATCTAGAATCAGTGATAATAGTAGTAATAGTATTAATAACAACAGTGATGATAATAATAAAAATGACAAAAAAATAAGAACAACAATGACAAAAAAAGATGATGACAGTAATGATAATACCAATAATAATAATGATAATAATAATAATAATAGTAATAATAATAATAATAATGATAATAATAATAATAATAACAATAATAATAAGGAGAATAATAACAATGACAATAAAGGAGAAGAGACGTACCCGACCCATCCGTAGGCTTCCTGAAGGAGAGGAGGAAGACGTGACACCTGGGTGTGGACGTGGCACATGAGGCGCTGGCGGCACTCGTCTCCTGGCACCTAGAAGGGGAAAAGGGGCGTCTGATTGGTGTCTGTGCCTAGTACAAGGTAATTGGGCCTAGATTATGTCTCCTAATGTTTGTTGTAAGAGCGTTTCTTGCTCTGTGGACTTTCAAATAAAGCTTCTTCAAAGTATATGTTGTCTGGGAATTGTTTTTTTTTTTTATCAACGCATGCCTTGGAATTATATATAAATCCCCGATCCATTTTCTCTTGTACAAAGTATTACCGAATTCCTTCTTACCATAACACTGTATATCATAATTACAAGAGCACCTATCAAAATCATTATCATATATCTATATATACAAAACACACCCATGAATTCTAGCTATTTATATGATCCGTTATCATCCTACAGAGAAATTACAGACGATTTCGGTTATCATAACTATACCAACTAATAAGCGAATCATCCTTTATCAGAATTAGCAACACTTACCTGCACAGCGACGAAGGCATTGTCATAGTCCAAGACCGACACCAAGGGAGCCATGGCACTGGCAGCGCGCCCGACGAAAGTGCCAACGGTGTCTATAGCTCGGGCCTGTCGGTTGCCTAGTATCCGGTCTACGAAGTCTTCAAGAGGTTCCTCCAAGAAGTCCGTCACCACTTGGGATCCCATTAAGTTGTTCAGCATCGTGGATAAGTTCAGGTCGCCACCCAAGGACCTGTGGTGGGGGTTGGTTTCGTTATTGTCATAGTTTAGGTGTTTACTCGTAGTTTACTCTTGGTTAGAATGGTTGAGGAAAATGGTATTTATAAGGTGCTTTGGTATGTCAAAATATGCTATGTGATTTCAAACTTATTTTAGGACATCAGATTACATAATAAGCGAACACACACACACACACACACACACACACACACACACACACACACACACACACACACACACACACACACACACACACACACACACACACCAACCTCAACTGACCCCGAACCAAACCACCAACCACAGCCCACCCTTTCACCAACCCTCCCAACCCACCCAAACCCCCCCCTCCCCCAAACACCCACCTAGCATGCGGCAGGAGTCCGGGGAAGATCTCGATGCCGAACAGCGCCGAGATGGGCACCGCCAGCACCGCCATGAGGACGAAGAACGCCAGCAGGGAGATGAGGAAGCCGGCGATCGGGTTGTCCTGGAGGTATCCGGTGCCGATCTTGGCCAGGTTGACGGGCAGGTCGAAGGCCAGCACGACGCCTACTTCTTGAGAGTCAGACATGTTGGTGGCTGCGGGAGAGGGGAGAATGAGGAAGGGGAACATGTGGGGAAGTGAAGTAATAACATAACGGAAACATAAGGGTAAGTAAAGGAAGTGATTAAAGTAAGCAATTCAAGTTAAGTAACTGACTAAAGTAAGTAACTAAAAAACTAAAGTAACTAAAGTAAAAAAAAATCCATACAATTCTTCGCGGAAAAAAGGGGTCAGTACTTACTTCCCCGTTGTAGTCTCCTAAAACACCCATTTGATAAAAGGTAGTCCTTTTATCAAATGGGACATAATTCCAAAAGTCATATTACCTTAAAATACAAACAAAAACGAACAAACAAACAATAAAGCGACATAATTCTACAAGTCATAAAATCTAAATGAAAAAGCTTCACCTCTGAAAAAAAATCGAGAAAACGTGAGCTGTAGAGCGAGCGGCCCGACTCGCCGCTGTGGGATATGCTCGCGGCGGCCCCTCCGTCGGGCGCCCGAGTGGTGAGCTTGCTAAATTTGGTTCTTATTTTGCTAATATTTGCATTTTATGTGTGATCATTTACTATTTTGCAACAAGGTTTATTTTTTTCGATGTGATATAAATTTGATTTTGTTTATGATATATTTTTTGTGCATGTATGTACTCACTTATAAACAATCATTTGAACCAATACGTCTTCGAAATATTAATAACACTAAACTATCTTCCAGATATCAAAAGAAACAAATATACACAAAGAAACAAACCAATCAAACGACGCGTAGCTCAAACAAC